AGAGCTGCTCTGATTGAACAGGGGCTAGGTTTTCTTTTGTCCCTCCCTCTCCTCGCCCCATGCAACCAGCATTCGAGCCAAATAAAAGGTCAAAAATTTAGTTTAGAGTAATGGATAAGTGCATGGACCCTGAGCACGGCTGTCGGAGTTCCAGTCCTGGTCTCCACTTGGACCAGTTACTTATATCTCTCGCCTTCATCTTTCTCACCTGTGAAATGGGACTGATAACAATCACACCTCCTCCAAAGCAGAGAGCAAATGCTATTTAAGTTTAAGTAACATCTTCCAATAAATGAATAAACTACAATGTCCGCCAGTAAGGTAATAACTATGGTTAACTGTTCCTCTAAAGCAGTGGTTCTCAACCTTCCTAATGTCGCCTTAATACAGTTACTTAATACAGTAACCCCTTAATACAGTTCCTCATGTTGTGGTGACCCCCAACCATAAAATTATTTTCATTGCTACTCTATAACTGTAATTTTGCTACTATTATGAATCGTAATGTAAATCTTTTTGTTTTCCGATGGTCTTAGGCGACCCCTGAGAAAGGGTCGTTCGACCCCCAAAGGAGTCATGACCCACAGGTTGAGAACCGCTGCCTAAGGACTCCTTATAAATTTCCCACAAGACCCTGTCTCACCTGACCTCAAACAAAATAAGTTTCAGGCTTTCGTTGGAAAGTCTGGAGCCTCAGACCTGAGTTCCAACGGTCATGGGTGCCCCCTGCTGGCCACCTCCTGCAAGTGCGCCACCCACTTTCCTCAAACCTTGAGCTGGTTGGTGCCTTGGCTTGGTTTGTCTGGCCAGACATCCCCCACCCCACTCTCTCCCCAGTCCACCACTCCCCACCCCCCCATCCCCGACCCCTTCAAATAACCTCATCAGGCTACACCCAGCTTCAGTCATTCATAGCACTGGAGTCCTGCAATAATTAGAGGCAGCATGGGGCACTGGGATTGGACACCCACGGACTGGTTTGAGTCTGACATTCAGAATTTTATTGGTGTGATCTGGAAAAAGGGGCCCTCTGACGCCTATAAAACAGAGATTGTGAACACCTTTCTCAAGGAGCTCGAAGGTCAGTTTGTAAATTATAAGTGCTGTTTACTGGGTGTCTGATGGTTAATCACAAACCTCTTTATGGGTGTTGATGCACAAACCCTTGTAAGTAAAAAGTGTCTCTATGGAAAATTCCACATGTTTCCATCAGAGGTGTCCAAGTCTCCACTGTGAGTAAGAATTCGCACAGTCTATATTGTTCACTCAATGGCCATGACATTAAAATATATATCAGACATCACACTCCTGCTCAAAGGCTTCTACTGTCTTCCCATCACACTCAGAACACAATCCAGCCTCCTTTCCTAGCCTACAGAGTCTCTCACAATCAGCCAACCTCAACTCTATGGTACTTATTACCACCTGCAGGGGCTTTGCTTGGCTCACCACCTGTTCGAGTAACGTCTGGCACCCACAGGGTACTCAGTGGATGTTTGTTAAGTGAATAACTTTTCCTACCCAGGCTTGGGGATGAAGAAGGTGCAGCATATAAGAGATGCAGCCTAATATGATGTGTGCCTAGGTTGTCTCCAGAAAGGGGGTGGGAGATGAAGGCTCTCCATGGTCTCCTGGTGTGGGTGCGTAGGGCCTGTAGAATAATGCCATTGCTTTTTCCTCCAAGTATTCTCTGGAAGTCTCAGAACCCAAGAGAAGCCCCCCCACCCCCCAGCACTGACCCAGGTCCTGAGGATCCCCCCAACCTGGATGGGTAGACAGAGAAGTGTCAGCCTGAGCTCAGCACCCTCCCACAAAAAAAGCGGGGGGAGCTGGCACACGTTTTCCTGTTTTCTCACACTTGGACACTCCTCTTCTGCGTTTGGGTGGGACCCACCTTGAGCTGGGCCAGATCTGAGGATGGGGGTGTCTCTGTTTTGGGTGGAGATTGCGGAGGGCATGGCCTTCATCGAGCAGAGGAACTACATTCACCGAGATCTCCGAGCCGCCAACATCTTGGTCTCTGCGACACTGGTGTGTAAGATTGCCGACTTCGGCCTGGCGCGGATCATTGAGGACAACGAGTACACGGCTCGGGAAGGTAGGGAATGCTACCAAGGGGACCCGTGGGGCCCATGTGAACGGGTTGTGAGTGTTTAGAGTCGAGACCTGTGAAAGTGCTAGGTAAAACGCAAAGGTCTGTCCCAATGATATAAGCTGTGTATCATTATGTGCGATGTTCCCTCTGGATATAGCGTCCTGGCCTGCAGAGCCACCCAGTGACTCCGATTTTAGATCGAGTTAGGCGAGTGCATATTGAAATTAAGTGTAAGAGCAACCTTATGTGTAATAGACAAAAACTGGGAGGAATCCAAATGTCCATAAATAGGAGAATGGATATATACATTGTGGTATATTCATGCAATATAATGTATACAGCAATGAAAAATTACAGACCAATGCTACATGCAACAAAATGGTGGACTCTCACAGGCATAATATCAAAATGAAAGCAATCAGACCAAAAAAAAAAAAAGTCGATGCTGGATGGTTCCATTTATGTAAAATTCAGAAATAAGCAAACTTGTGTGTGAATGTTCACAGCAGCATGATCCGTAAGAGCCAAAAAGTCGAAGCAACCCAAATGTCCATTAACTGATAAACAAAATGTAGTCTACCCATACAATGGAAATTATTCAGCCATAAAGGAATGAAGTACTGATACATGCTATAAACATGGACAAGCTTTCAAAACATTGTGTTAGTGAAAGAAGGCAGACCTAAAAACCACATACTGTATGATTTCATTTACATGCAATGTCCAGAATAGGCAAATCTACGGTTGCCTAGGGCTGGGCTGGAGAGTCAGAAAGAAATAGGAAGTGACTGCTATGGGGTTTTTTTTTTGGCAGGGGGAGATGTATGAAAATATTCTAAAATTCACAACTTTATGAATATACTAAAAACACCGAACTGCACACTTTAAATGGGTGAATGGTATGACCTGAGAATATATCTCAATAAAGCTCTTAAAGAAAAAACAAGCAAAACGCATTTATGGCAATAGAGGTCAGGACATTGGTTACCTAGAATGGGAGGTTACTGACTGGGCGGGGGCAGGAGAGAGCCTCTGAAGTGTCAAAAGTGTTCAATATCTTGATCTGAGTGGTGATTACAAGGTATATACATATATATAAATGCATCAAGGTATGTATGAAAAATTTGTGCACTTTGTTTGTTGTGATGCAATACAAACTCTAAACTAAGGGCAACCACTAAAAGAATAAGAGTAGAATTTAATTTCGAAACCAGGAGAGGATAAGCAGAAATAAAGAAAATTTGCTTAATCCCAAGGAGGGAAGGGATGGAGAAAAAAAACCACATAGAGCATTTTCAGAACTTGACCATGTACTGTCCTAAAGCAGGTCCCACCAAACTCGAAAGAACAGGTATCCTATGGACCATGTTCACCAACCACAATGGAATTAAGATAGAAACCAGTAACCAAAGGCTAAATAAACCCATCCTCAACCAAGTGGAAAGAGGGGAGGAGTAGAGGGAGAGGTACCTAGTGACGCGTGGAAACCTCAGAGGCCAAGGCCAAAATCTTTGCTTCCCCCATCGCCAGGAGTGATGGGGCTGAGGCATCAGTGGCAACCCGGACTCAAGGCCCTCTGAAGTTCTGCTGTCCCCAAAGATTCTAAGACTCCACTCTTCAGGAGTTGTAGGTCAATCAACAAGTTGGCCCTGGAGAGTGAGCGCCCCTGCCACACACCAGGCCCCTCTGCCCACTCCTCCCCACGTCAGCCATTTGCCTCCTTGCTTCCACAGAGGCCAGATGTGAGGGAAGTTGCAGTTCTGCAGGGGGTGGCTGTGGGCAGCTGTGCGCTGTCCTGTTTTCTCCCCCTAGCAGAGACTCAGCCCTGACTCTCCGCAGGCTCTCCCTGACTCTGCTCTGCCCAACCCCGCAGGGGCCAAGTTCCCCATCAAGTGGACAGCTCCTGAAGCCATTAACTTTGGCTCCTTCACCATCAAGTCAGATGTCTGGTCCTTTGGCATCCTGCTGATGGAGATCGTCACCTATGGCCGGATCCCATACCCAGGTAGGGAAGGTGGCATCAGCTTGGGGCTGCTCCAGGGCCCTGCGTGGCTCCCTACTCTTGTCAGTGTGTCCATTCAGATGGAGTCCCTTGATGCTCACCTCCAACCTCCCCTCACCTGCCCCATCTCAGTTAAGGGCACCACCATTCACCCAGTTTCTTAAGCCTGAAATCCTCTGCCCTTCCTTTCCTCTCAGCCCTTACCACATTCAAGAAGTCACAGCGTTCTGGGTATTGGAGTCTAAACACATGCCAAGTCTTCCTGCTTCTGACTCCACAGCCCCCACCCACATCCAGACCACCATCAGCTCTCACCTCGACCGTGCGGTGGCCACCTAACCAGTCGCCTGGCTTTCTCCCCTCTCTCCGACAGTCCATTCTCGATTTGCAGCCAGAGGGATTTCTCTAAACTTGTGACTGAGATCTTGTCCTTTCTCCACCTCTCTTCCATGGTCTCCCATCATAATTAGGACAGAATCCCAAATCCTAATTATGGCCTGCAGGTCGTGCACAACCCAACCCCTGCTACTGCCCCCGTTTCACCTCGTGCTGCACCCCACCACTCGGTCATCTAACGTGCCGCACATGCAGGCCCCCTGTGCTTCTTGTTCATAGCACCCTATGCTGTTTCCTTCAGAGCACTCATCACAATTGATAACTGTATATTTGTTTAATATTTTCCCCATCAAACTCTGAGCTCCGTGAGGCTAGAAACCATGTCTATATTCCTCACTGGTGTATCTGCACTGCCTCTCTCTGTGCTTGCCACTTAGTGGGTGCTTAGTAACTATTTGTGGAATGGGTGAGTTTACCCACATGCCTGGGGGCAGTACCCTCCACTGAGTAGATCATGTGGATATACAAAGATATACCCACCGTATAGACTGCCCGGGACTCCGTAAATAATGTTCTCTGTTCCTTTTCGGTTGGGACATCTCCTGGGATATCTGTAGCCAGAACCCTGGGAAGAGGGGGAAAGGTGGATATAAAGAGTCCCTGACTTTTATATAAACAGTCTTGACTTTGAATCCTGTCCCCATCGACTATTACACTTTGAGAAGTTCTCTTCAGTCTTCTCCCAGTGTTTTCACCTGTAAAAAAATATAGGTACTGATGTTTACCTTGCAGAGGTGGATGTGGAAATTAGCAGCAAAAGATACAGACACTGTTCATCCAACAGTATTTATCAAATTCCTACCGTGTGTTAGGCATTGAGCGTACAGTGAGAGGCGAGGTCTCTGCTGGTAAGGAGCTCACGTTCTAGCCTGGAGGAGCACACACTGAACAGTCTCAGCTGGAGATCGCTCCTGAGAAGAACACACAGCAGAGGCATGTGAGAGGGAGTGACGTGGGGCCCCTGTGGACAGGGAACACCTGTCAGAGAAGGTCATATTCAAGCTGAAAGGCAGCTGAGGGAGGCTCTAGGGAAAGGATTTCAGGTAGAAGGCACTGCTAGCTCTCACAGCCTGAGGTATGCCTGAAGACTAGCAAGGAAGCCAGGTAGCTGGAGATAAGACATGATAGCAGGGAGCACAGCAGGAGGTTGGCAGAGGCCAGATCTGTCAGGGCCATGGTCATGGTGAAGAGTGAATGGGTGTTAAGTCTAAGTATGCGGAAGCCATTGGAGGGTTTGGGGGCAGGGATGTGGCACCATCTGATTTCCACTTTTCAAGTGTTGCTTTGGTTCAGCATGGAGGGTGGATTGGGGGCTGGGGATATGGTGGCAGCCACAGCAGTGGCACAGGCAGAGGTGAGGATGGCGACAGAGGTAAGTTGATGGGTTCAGGCTATGTTGCAAAAGAAGAAAGAACTTGATGTGGAAGGTGAGGGAGAGTGAAGGATCAAGGATGGTTCTCATGGTTTAACTGAGCAACTGGGTGGGTGATGGTCTAGAGATAGAAATTCAAGAGTTCTGTTTTTAGCCCAGTGAAATGTGAGGTGACTTGTAGACATCCAAGTAAAGGTGTTCAAGGAAGCACTTGGATATATGAGTTTGGAGTTCAAGACTGGTCATATAGAACTGGAGATCGCAGACAGCTAAATGGTTGTTCGTAAGGATAACTAACGAACTTTAATTGAACAAGGAAATGGTCCCACTCATACATAGGGTGACATCAGTCTGACCATTTGACTGTTTTTTTTCTTGAGGGTACACCAGGAAAAACTAGGCAGTGGGTTTTAGAACCCTGTATCCATTAGGATGGATTAGGCAACGGGTAACCAAATAACAGACTAAGAGAGTGGTGGAAACAATAGGCAAGTTATTATTCCCCATAATAAGAGGTCTGGCATTGGTGACTGGTTAGTTCAGCTGCTCAGCAGTTCTGAGGACTCTGGGTTAGTTTCTCTGAGATTGTCTTCCTCACGTGGCCAGATGGCTACTGCAGCTCCAAGATCACATAGTCTCTGTGTCCAAAGGAAGGAGGAAGTGTGTGTCCTCCAAAGTCCCTTTTCATCAGGGAGGAAAACCATTCCTGGAAGTCTCCAGGGAGACTCCCCCTCAACTCCCATTGGCCCAAACTGGGTGCCATGCCCCTGCCCTCGCCGCAGGGGTTTCACAGTGGGAGGGGCTCAGCTCTCATGAGGAAGTGGGGAGTGATGGCTGTGGGGGAGGCAACAGTGTCTGCCCCCCGCCCCAGGCTCCTGTCCCCATTCCTCCTTTATCAACTCCATGACTCCTTCTCAGGGATGTCAAACCCTGAGGTGATCCGGGCACTGGAGCGTGGATACCGGATGCCCCGACCAGAGCACTGCCCCGAGGAGCTCTACAACATCATGACTCGCTGCTGGAAGAACCGCCCTGAGGAGCGGCCCACCTTCGAATACATCCAGAGTGTGCTGGACGACTTCTACACAGCCACTGAGAGCCAGTACCAACAGCAGCCGTGACGAGGGGACCAGGCGCTTAGGCGATGCCTGTGAGGTGGCTCTAGCACCATCTGCCTGGTGCCCACTAACCCTTCTTACTCCCAGACATCCACCCTCACTCCAGCCACGGTTTCTCATCTGTCAAGTGGGTAGGTTGAACTGGACAATCTTTTTGACTTTAGCAATCCACAATCTGCCCTTTTCAGGCGACCCCAAGTTGATATTTCTATTGCCTGGGACAGCTGGATTCCCATTACAGCTGTGGTTCAGATAGGAAACTTTAAAAGTAATGAAATAAATATTTAAATAAAAGATACAAATGCTAAAGGCTTTCCTGACAGGCCAGCTTTTCTTCCAGTTCCTGATTATCTACTTGCCTTTTTGCTGGATGACAAGACAGAAAGGGGGAAGGCCCCTCCCCGAGACCAACAGTGCAAAGAGAAGTGCCGTTCAATACTCAGTTTTCTAACTGCCCCCAGATAGTTGCTGCGTTAGTTTCCTGTCGCTGCTGTAACAAATTACCGCAAACTCGGTGGCTTAACAGGACACAGATTTATGAGCTTACAGTTGCAGAGGTCAGAAGTCTGAAATGGGCTGGCAGGGCTGCATTCCTCCTGCAGGCTCCGGGGGAGAATCCACTTCCTTGGCTTTTCCAGCTGCCACGTTCCTTGACTTGGGGTTCCTTTCCGTTCATCACTCCAAACTCTGCTTCCATCCTCACACCTCCTTCTCTGACTCTGAGTCTGCTGCCACCTTCTTTCACTTGTAAGGGCCCCTGCACTTACACTGGATAAGCCAGAGTAATCTTCCATCGCCAGATCCTCAACCACACCTGTAAAGTCCCTTTGGCCAGGTAAAGTAACGTCTGCACAGGATCTGTGGATTAGGACGTGGTCATCTTTTTTGCAGGGGGGAGGGGCCTTATTCTGCCTGTCACACTGGCGCTGGGATACTGGATGGGTTTTTGTCTCTAAGGAGCTGGGTCCACCAGGATGAAAGGAATGATTCTTCATGATCTGGGACCCTGACTGTCCTTCCAAGTCACATGACTACGTGAGCTGCTTGGTCTGGCTCTCCCCCCAGTGCTGGGGGGCATTTCCCATGGCTAAGAAGCCATCACGGTTGTTCATATTGTTATCCACCATTGCAGGGATCCTGGGGTCTGGAGGCGTGACTGCTGAGAGGCATCTGGTACCCTGTATGGGAAGCTCTCCACGGAGGGGAGGGAGACATGGGGAGGAAGTAGAGAAGACAAGGAGGTGGTGGGCCCTTCCTGCATGTCGTCTCAGTTGAAAGTCCCCAGCAGTTAGAGTCTGTCATCAGGGGAGCAGTGAGAAGAGGTGACGGTGGGATGGGAAGCAAATGATACCTTTCTATATTATTGCATTCCTTGAAGGATTAATATCACACCACCTGCCAGGGTCCCATGGAACCCTATATTGAATTGATTCTGTACTCCCGAGTAGCACAGAGGCTAACTTTAGGAACTGAGTATAAGAACAGTGGAAAACAAAGCTATCAGTGTTTCAAGTTACCTAGCTGGTTAATTAAATTTCTCTCTTGCTTTCTGGTTTGGGATGGGTCTTTGGGTATCTGAAAGCAGAGCCCAGGATCCTGTGGTAAGAATTTGCGCTCATGATTGTGGTACATTGAATTGCTGTTCAGTAATCCATATGGGGAGTATACTTCCCTGCCCCATTGACGTTGAGCTCGGCCATGAGACTTGCTTTAGCCAATGGGATGTTGGAAGAAGTGATGTAAGCAGAGGCTTAAACTGTGGGGCTGGCTTGCCATCCAGCTTTTTGCCCTGAAAAGAACATGGTTCAAGGAAGATGTGTGACTTGGGGAGCAGATTCGGACCCAACCTGCCACTTGCAGTTAAACCCAGCTGAGTTCAGCCTTAATCAACTCAACCCCAGCTGACATGTGGACATGCGAGAGAGGAATAAATGCTTCATATTATAAGCCTTTGAGTTTGAGGGTTGTTTTGTTACACAGTATTATTATAGAAATAGCTGACTAAAACATGATCTCAAGAGTTAGAGTCTATTGCTATGTGGACAAGATCAAGGAGTCAATTCATGCCCTACTGCTCTATCAGTTTACACTGCCCGACACTCTGATTTAGCCCTCTGTTACAGGAAAGACAGGTGAAAATATGGGGATAGATACAACACCAAAAGCATGATCCATGAAAGAAAAAAATGGGTAAATTGGACTTCATTAAAATTAAAAACTCTGCTCGGAGAAAGACAGTGTTAAGAAAATGAAAAGACAAGCTCCAATCTTGGAGAAAATATTTGCAAAACACACATCTGATAAAGGATTGATCTCCAAAATATACAAAGAACTCTTAAAACTCAACAATAAGAAAACAACCAAACTAAAAATGGGCAAAAGACCTGAACAGACACCTCACAAAGAAGATATGCAGGTGGAAGATAAGCATATGAAAAGGTGCTCAACATCATATATCATTAGAGAAATGCAAATTTAAAAAAATGAGATACCAGCCACTACACACCTATTAGAATGCTAAAATCTGGAACACTGACTATACCAAATGCTGGTGAGGATGTGGAGCAACAGGAACTCTCATTCATTGCTGATGGGAATGCAAAAATGGTACAGCCACTTTGGAAGACATTTGTCAGTTTCCTATAAAATTAAACATATTCTTACTATACAATCCAGCAATGCATTCCTTGGTATTTACCCAAATGAGTTGAAAACTTATGTCTACATAAAAACCTACACACTAATATTTGTAGATTTATTTTAATTGTCAAAACTTGGAAGCAACCAAAATGTCCTTCAATAGGTGAATGGATAAACAAACTGGTACATCCATGTAATGGAATATTGTTCAGTGAGAAAAAAAAATGAACTATCAAGACATGGAAGAACCTTAAATGCATATTGTTAAGTGAAAGAAGCCAATCTGAAAAGGCCACATGCATACTGTATGATTCCAACTATATGACATTCTGGAAAAGGTAAAACTATAGACATTTAAAAAAATCAGTGATTGCCAAGGGTTTGGTGGGGAGGGAAGGAGGGAAGAACATGTGGAGCACGGGATTTTTAGGGCAGTGAAACTATTCTGTAATGGTAGATATCTATCATTATATATCTGTCAAAATTCATAGAATGTACAGCTGTACAGCGCAGAGTGAACCCAAATGTAAACTATGGACTTAGGTTAATGATAATGTATCAATATTGGCTCATCAATTGTAACATTTGTACCACATTAAGGCAAGATGTTAATAATAGGAGAAGCTGGGGGCTGAACAAGGGGGTAGTGGGAGCTTTGTACTTTCCACTCATTTTTCTGTAAACCTAAAACTGCTCTTAAAATATGAAATCTATTAAATAAACAAACAAACAAACAAAAAACATGGGGATAAATTTGTGCCACCAATTCTATAGCAAAACTACACACACTCCTCCCCTGGAAAGTGGCAAAGGAAGGCATGGATACAATGTGCCACTCTAAGATGTTAATGACTTGCTTCAATCTAGCCTCTAGCTGTTGCTTTGAGTTAAAATATAGGGAAAGCAGAGCCTAACCTTGTTTCATTTTTTCTCCTTGTGACTTGGAATATAAAACTGCCTCTTTATTCCCCAACCTGTGCCCTCAATTTTGTCTGTCCTTATCACAGTATATTTGCCATAAGGCTATATCAATTTGCATTTTATTTGCATGCCTTCTCTTTTTGGGGTTGGCAATCAGTGACTGATAGTTGTCCCCATATCCATGTTCCTCCTTTTTCTAGAGAAATAACATTTTTATCAGGGGCATATGACTACCCAGGAAGTGACTATATTTCCTACTCCCTTTGCAGCCAAGTGTGGCCATGTGATTAAATTCTAATCAATGGGCTGTAAGTGGAAGTGTGGTGAAGCACCTTTCAGGGTCCTTTCTTTTCTCTTTTCTTACTTTTTTTTTTTTTAAGATTTTATTGGGGAATTGGGGAAGGGGAACAGCCAAGTTGTTGTCCTTCAATCTTAGTAGTGGAGGGCACAGCTAGCTCAGCTCCAAGTCCAGTTGCCATCTGGCTGCCCATCAGCAGCTTGCGGCTGCTCAGCTCAAGGTGTTCAATCTTATTTTCAGGGGGCACAGCCCATCATCCTGTTCGGGAGTCGAACTGGCAATCTTGTTGTTAGGAGCATGTGCTCTCACCAGCTGAGTCATCCTGCCACCTGTTGGCAGTTCAGCAGTAACTCAGCTCAGGCGCAGCTCACTGGCCCATGTGGGAATCGAAATGGCAACCCTGTTGCTCAGAGCTCACGCTCTTAATCAACTGAGCCCGAACTCGGCTGGCCCTCAGGGTCTTTTCTTAAAAGACAACTGATGTGGGCTCCTTGCCCCTTATTTTTCATCTTTTCTTCTGTCACGCTGCCTAGAATGTGCATGTGAAGGCTGGAGCTCTAGCTGCCATCTTGGACCCTGAAGAAAACAAATGAACTCTAGGGATGGCAATGTTGGGTGGAGCCTGGATCTCTGAAGATATTTTAGGCACAGCCACCATATCAGCTAGGATGGTCCTCCAGAGGGTGTGGCATGCACAGTCAGTATCACTTAATGTGGGCTGGACTTTTAGGAGCTGTATTCTGCATCACGGTGCCTGTTTTTATTCTAAAAGTGCAAAGAGCCTCAGCTGCCAGTGTTCCAAGAAGGCCAGAAGTGCTAAGGAATGAATAACTTCTGGGATCGATCCACAACTAATGACTCTTGGGAGTTAGTATGTAAATACCCCAGCTTCCTTGCCTCTTGGTTAGGATAACCCTGAGGTATGTGTTTTGCAT